AAGCACGCGGCATCCGAAGCCCTTGCAAATACGCGCGAAGATGGCACCGATCTTGCCCGTACCAATGATACCCACCGTTTTGCCGTTCATATCAAAGCCCATCAGACCCGTAAGCCGGAAGTTTTGCTCGCGCGTGCGGTTGAAAGCACGGTGTGTCTTGCGGTTCAGCGTCATCATCAAGGCGGCAGCATGTTCGGCTACAGCGTAAGGAGAATACGCCGGCACGCGCACAACGGGCATGTTAAGCTCCTTGGCCACGTCAAGGTCCACCATGTCGAAACCAGCGCAACGCAGGAAAAGCACGCGAGTGCCACGGTCGTAGAGCTACACGAACGGGTTAGCCCACAAATTACTTTTACAGTCTCCAGTATCACTATCTCACTCACTCTGCGCAGCGAAGTCGCGTCAGCGACGTCGTTGACGAAGATGCAGACGCCCTCGCAGTCCTCAGCCAGCTGCGTGGTTTGTTGCGTAAGCCGGTTGGAGAAGAAGCTGCAGTGGCAACGAGGAGATTCGAGCAACAAACAACGTCAGTGATGCATGCCGGTATTGTCAAGTAATTGGCCTCTAGGTCTGAGCTGCGAGTGGCATTGGGAGACATACACAAGTTCGTTGTCCTTAGCGATCCCTGCACACTCGGCCAAAGCTTTCATCGCGCCGATCTCGTAGTTGTGTGCCGAGAAGAAGCCAACACGCATGCCCTTGCGCTGCTGGGTGGTGACGAAGTCGCGTTGTGCAAGAACTGGCAACCATCGGCGTGACATCGAGCAACTCTGGCGGCGGCCGAATGAGGCTATGCAGCGCTGCATCATATGTGCAGGTGCGTGGGTTAGTGTTTGGAGTTTGGAGTTCTTTTTGGTAGTGTGCGGTCTCGATGAAATCAAGGTGGTTCCAAAGACGACGCGCCAAGTACAGTATCACTGAGGTGTTTGCCACATCACATGCTTGCCTTGTGCCTTGAGAAGCACTCATCGGGTGTAAACCAGGTAGACACGCACATGGAACGACGGCGTTGACGTATCCAAAATGTACTACAGTATTCTACTCGCAGTTTCCATCGCCATTAGCCTCCCAGCTGTCATGGAGTGCCTGTTTGAACGCGTTAGCTAGAGCAACTGCACTGGAGCCCCATGCATAATGCTGCTTGCTTCACCTTCATCATGGTCCAGGTAACTACAAGAAATACAAGCCGAGATTTGGTAAAGATTGTATTGTCGATACTTTCACGTACCAGAGCCTGCAGTACATGTAGTTCCTTGACTTTGTCAAGCTATTTTCTCGGCACACAACCTTTTCCACACGTACAAAACTACACAGAAGATATACCATACAACAGTAAACTTCATTCAAAACCTGTCTTGGCAGAGCGGTGTCGATAACGATAATGAAGGCCTCGGAATGCAATGACAACGAGCTCGCCCGGAGTGTAATCGGCGTTATTCGCATAAAGTCAAAATTAAAGCAATGACAATGAGCCCACGAAATAAAAGGATCAGATTCGGTGGTCGACACGAATTGCCTCGTCTCATGTCCAAGTTAAAGTGAACTTCAATCAGTTTACATGTTAGAACTCAAACGCATTGCCGAAATCGCTCCATTATCATAACTTTTGGGCAGTTGAACAATAGGGGTTCTCAATTGTGCAACAGCAAGTCATTTTTTTTTATCGCTGCAAGTCGAGTTTATTTTTTCGGCAATCTGATTGGCGGAGCACATTTTTTCATTCTGCATCAAAATTGATGCAGGTCGAGGCTGCAGCAGCAAATCCAGTTTTTTTTTTCTGGCATCAGTAAAAGATCGCACCTCATTCGAAAAGTAGTAGTTTTGTGAGCACGGTGCGCGCTTGTGCCCTCGCTTACGACGCGCTCCTAAGCGTGATTGGAGACAACAAAATCGGACACCATCGGAAAATCTAGCAGCAGAGGCTCTTACTGACGAAGACAATGACCAGTTGAACATTACGGGACGCATGGCTGTCGGTGTTGAGCAGGAACGGCCTGGTCATCAGCGTGATTGGAGACAACAACATCGGACACCATCGGAAAATCTAGCAGCAGAGGCCCTTACTGACGAAGACAATGACCAGTTGAGCATTGCTGGACACATGGCTGTCGGTGCTGAGCAGGAACGGCCTGGTTTGACTTCTGGACAAGCCACCGTCGCTGGACGTATCGTTCATGTATGCTCTTGGAGGGGTTGTAAGAAGGTTCCAAAGAATAAAGGCGGAGACGGGATCCGTGTGTGCAGTAAACAGGGCTGCAAACGCGCTGTTCACGTTGCTTGTACCGCGGTGCTGCTATCCGAGTTAGGCGTTCAACAAGATTGCTTGCGGATAGCAGGAGATTGTGCTGGACACTGAGAATGCGGAGATCACCCCGGAAACGTTCGCACTGCTGTATATTGGAGCGGAATCGGCGCACCTCACAAGTGCTTGTAGACTTTGGCAATATTAACAACCGGCCAATCAAAGAGATTGATCGTGTGCACAAGATTAACGCGTTCGATACCAAGGCTCAGCGAACACGCGAAGTGTCGAATCTTACGAGCACGATCAACATTTTAAAAGCGATGCTGAGACTCATGCGGACGACATCGACACGGCCTGTGTGTTGCGCAAAGAAATAAGATCGAAGAGCAAACTAATGATCCAACCAGTTGCAAATACCGA